GAGAATTACATAGTACATGTGGATTCTGTGTGCTCTATAGCTCTCAGGAGCCAAAATGTATCTTGGCAAATCTCAAGAGAATAGGGTTAGGGCCCTACAGGGAGGATACAGGTGAGTTAGTGGATACCGAACTAGTGAGGCCAAAAGACATGGATTACCACGTTGTAAACATAATTCCTTCATAGAATTTGTAGACCAGGTGTAATTTACCAATCAGATTTTATATGCTTTCAATAAATAATAATGTCTGGTAACACAGTTACGGGGCTATGGATCCATCTGTATAAGTCTTCAGGGAATAGATCAATAAAGCTACTCTTTTACATATTTTCCCCTTGGAAACAGGAAAAGGTTTGGTTACTTTTTACTTCCATTCCTTCCACTTGTAACTTTTGATTAACACCTTAAATTAAAAAGCACACTAAAAAACATTGTCCTTGATCATAAGCATTTGTATCATCTAATGGGTCATTAATATCCTCTTCACAACCTGATGAATCATATTATTATCTAGCCAATTAATTTGTCTAGGCCCTGAATACCTTACCTGTAATGAATTACATTTAAGGTTTTAACTAGGGAATGAATAAATTTCCTAATCTCAACCATCAGGTAATGTTTCATTTGTTAGCTCTATGATTAAACTTCTAGGACTGTGTAAGAAATCTATGACTGTATGCCCCAGAACAATATATACCTTACACACTCTATTCTCACTAAAATTAAGATATAGCTTTTTCTTCCTTATTTTTTAATTTTTTTCCTTCTAGATCTATGTCTAAGCAATAGATTATATAACATCATATTTCAACTGACACACCAGGTCCTGCATCAGAGAGTAAAGAAGAAAACACTAAGTAATACAACATGATATTGCACATAATTAGTGGTATTCAATGGCAAAGAAATATATTATAATACATTTGTGGTTAGACAACTAACACTATATTTGAAGTATTCCCCTAAATTCCCTGAAACTCATCACTGGGAGTTCTTGAGTAGAATACTCTGATAGTAGAGTTGCATAAATGGTCACTTCAAAATCTCATAAATATTGCCAAAGAACGGGTGCAAAGTGGTGTCAAAATGGAACAAAGTAGATAATGCTGCATTCTCAAATTGGACTAAATAACAGGGAAAATCTGCAGCATCTTGTCGTTAAGAAGATTAAAATATGATTTTAAAAACCTTGCAAAATGTTATGATGGTTTTAAATAATTTCAGTAGTAATAACAGTAGTATTTAGTAACAGTAGTAGTTGTAGCTATATGAATTGCAGCTGTAGTATCATTATGTTTGCATACATAAAATGTACAATTTTGTTTCCTTACATTATAAGCCTGGCCATAGGCCAGAAAGTTGACCAAATGACTGTCTTCTGCAGTTCCAGTTTACAAATTCTCCGTTTCTCAGATATTTTTCTCACACTCCAAATGATCCCATGATTTGATATTTCCTGGTTCCTATTCTTTGGAAATAGTTTCTAATGAAGTAACTGAATGCTTCTTGCTATGTGCTTTTATGCAATAATATCTTTCTTCTACAAAGTGAGATCGAGTCTCAGAAAGGTAATGACCTCTCTAGGGGCAAGATCTGTAGCATCATCCTGGGATCAGCTTAGACTTTAAGAAAAGCCAGGAAGATAAACAGTTAAGGGCAGATGATGAAAGACACTTTCATTCATATCTTTCCAAATCCAAAACCCAGCAGGAAAGAGCTGTTTTATCCAGTGTCTTTATGCTCCAGCTAGCTGTCTGTTAGTGTGGGTGAGTTTCTTCTCCATGCTTTGGGACCTGTTTATTGCTAAGAGTTTCTCATTGTAGCAAATTTTAAGAGGAAGTAGGAAGATTACTGGGTCAGATTGACTTTATGCTGTATCTCTCAATTACAACCTTTACTTTGGTATGGCCATCTTCTTTCTCTGCTCCCCTCCCCACAGGCATTTTCTTGGTTTGTTTTATAAACAGTATGAGAGATGGACTAGATTTACATCATTTAAAGATGGAAGAGATGCAAAGGTAATTTAGTGCTATATTATTAACTGCATGTGGAAGAAATTTAATGGACACACTCCAGTTAATTAGTAGCAACAGCAGGGTGTGAATAAGGTTACCAGGATCCCCTTCCAAATTTTGTATACAAAGTAGTTCTAACATTGATTAGTTTATTACAATTTTTTAAATAAAAGAAAATCTGTGGTTTGAAAAGTGTGTGTGGAGGGATGGGCCTGTGTGTCTGTGTCTCTGTAGCTTGAGCAGAAGAACTTCAAAATGTTGAGAGAATTTCAAATATAGGAGCAACCGATTGTCTTTGGTAGCTTTGGTGTCTGGTCCTTCTGCCACATTGACCATAGCTCATGCTCCATCCCCTGAAATCCAGATTTCTCTGTATCAGAGACATTAACATCTTGGGTTTTTGTCTCTTTTCTTGTTTTTACTCCACTTTCATTTAAAAAATTCTCTTATTTCTTTCTCCTCTTTCCTTCCAAGCCCAGGAATGAACATTTTCTGATCTGATTATTATAGAAAGCTAAATTGCACAAAATGTAGGTCTTTGCTGTTAAAGAAGAAATTTTTAACATAAACTCTTTTTAAAAAAATGGTGTGCGTGTGCCTATTTTCCCCATCTACCTACTAAAGCTTTAAAGGAGGATATGATTATTTCTCAGATGAAGTGACCACATTAGTTTAAATAAGTGGAGCATATTGATTCCATCAAGGTCTGTACATGATTAAGACGTCGGTTTTCTATTGTGACAGTGAGCATTTGTTCTGCTTACATGAATATACGATCTTACAGATCTAACTGAGAAAAGCGATTAAGCTTTAGAAAATTCATCTTCTGGTGGTACTCTTTTTATTAATTCTTTATTCAAAAAATGTTCTCATTTTTCTGTTTGGTTTTACATTTCCTCAAGAAGCCATTAGTATGTCTTCCTCCACACAGAAGTTTATCACAAGCTCTGAGAAACATTAGCTACCAGACATTGAATAGCTACTCTTTTCCATAAAATTTGTGCTGAGAATTTCATATATAATTTCATTTAGTTCTCCCGATAATCCAGTGAGTTAAGTGATATTATCCACTCCTCCATTTATAGTGAGGTAAAAAGTAGAATGTGCATTAGATAATATCATCTAATGGTGTGAATAAGGTTTCCAGGATCCCTTTCCAAATTCCGTATACAAACTAGTTTTAACATTGATTGGTTTATATTTCTAAACTCATATCAGATTATTTGACATACTATACTATATAGAAGAAAATTAATTTGAAATGCTTTATCATCTATTATGGTGGACCTGAAGCTAATGTTTACTTTATCCTTACATCACCAGGCAATGTGAAAGTAATTATCTAGGATGTATTATCTTTGCAGCTCTTGTAGACTCTGCCTTTAACAACTTGTTCCACTTCAACAAAGCATATTTATGTTTATTTGCAATCACTTTTAGGCAATCTAGCACTTTCACCTGACATTGTTATATATGGGCATCAAGAGAAAAATTTTTAATAAAATTTCTAATTGTCTTAATCTATATCTATTTCCTTGAACACAATCTCTGATACATGTGGCTACAGAAGGTCATATAATAAAATTTCCTACTCTTCATCAACTATGAAGACATTTTACATTTTATTACTTTGGGAGCTTTCTAGTTATATCCACATATGTATTCATACTAACTGTGAACCATTCTATTTTTTTATTATTTTACAGAAGTTATCCTTTCAGTTTTCTTTCAAAGAAAAAAAAAGCATGTAAAAATCCCATTCAGAGTGATACTCCTCATTCAGTCAATGTATTTGGCTATGATACAATCATAAGAAAGATAAAATTAAACTGTTGTGTGATTTTAAGCTTGTAGAATAGTTAATGAAAAGGAAAAAAAAAAGAAAGATGATATAAGGTTGTTTTAAGCTTTAAGTAGAGGGTTGCCAAAGAAATAGAGCAGGCAGATTGTTAGAAGAAGCATGTGAAGTTAAACAATATATTCAAAGGTGTCAGAAATTATTTTCATTGACAACAGGTATTAATAGTGTAAAAAAGGCACATAGGTTGAGCCCCATTATAAACAGAGCTCTGCTCTTCTACATCTGAAACATATTAATATTATCAAAACATTTAAGTTACAGGGATTACACAACAGGCCAGGATTTGTGGCCTGTTCTCTATCCTAATTTATGGTTTCTTTTAATCCAATTGAACTCTTATCTATTTTCTCAATGTTCTGTCTCCTCTAAGATCTGTGACTACTTACATCTCCTTCCACCTCATTCTGCTTACACATCAACTTTGAAAACTAATGAACCAGGTTTAACTCAGTGAGTCAAAAATGCTCAGCCACTACTGGTAAGAGAATAATATGTACTTATCATTTCCAAGAACCTGAATAATTGGTCTGCATGTAGGTCAAGCAATATTTGTTGAAAGAACAAGCCTCTCACTTCCCTATATGGGAGGCAATTTGTAAGATGTGAAGGAAGAATTGTCCTCCCTATATCAGAGAAAATATCAAAGACTGGAAAAGGCATCTGAAGATTTTGAGCTTTCAATGAAAACAGGGTACAGGATTGAGGATTTGTATTATGACTTCAAGTATCACAGAGAAACTCCACCTAATCCAAGATGTGTCTGGAGTTTGAAGATGAATATGGACAAAAAAGTTAATGTTGCCATTTGTGGTATCATTTGAGAAGACACTGAAGACTAGTAGAATCAATGCTCTTAGAATCATAGTTTCCATTTCTACAGTTTCTAGTTGATCAACACTGAATCACATTCCTCATTACAACTACTCATATTAGGTTGGAAAATGCCAAGATCTCCATTCTGAAATAAACCTAAATTTACACTAAAGATTCAGTCACATGGTCAGTTTCCATCCATGTTTTTTATGTTCTGAGAGAAAGTAGAAGGAAAGAGTTCTTCCTTCCCATCCATAATTTTACTCTGAATCTCTAACAGAATCAGTGGTGAGTAAAGATTTACCAGATTCATGAGATCCACCAACATGTCATATTTGAACCCAAAGATGGTGACCCTGATTGGGATTCCTGGATTAGAGCATGTGCAATTCTGGATTGGGTTTCCCTTCTTTGGTGTGTGCCTGGTGGCTCTGCTGGGGAACATCTTTCTGCTAATCATTATCTCTACAGAACGCAGTCTACACAAACCCATGTACATCCTTCTGGCAGTATTGGCAGCCATTGACCTAGGTCTCTGTGTAGCCATTGCTCCTAAGATGTTGGCCATCTTCTGGTTTGATTCTTATTCCATGGTTTTCGATGCCTGCCTCGCCCAACTCTTCTTCATTCATGCCTTGCAGGGCATGGAATCTGGCATCCTGTTGGCAATGGCCTTTGATCGCTATGTGGCCATCTGTGATCCATTGAGGCACACATCCATCCTGACACATTTCTTTCTATTTCGGGTGGTGCTGTTGGTGGCAATCCGAGCAACGATGCTTGTTGGCATGTTACCCATTCTACTCAAACGACTGCACCTTTTCCAATCTGTGATTATTGTCCATTCTTACTGTGAACACATGGCTGTAGTCAAGCTGGCTGCAGAAGATGTTCATGTTAACAAATCATTTGGGCTCTTTGTGGCTTTTGCAATTCTAGGTTTTGACATGATCTTTGTCTTCATCTCCTACATTCTGATTTTTCAGACTGTTTTTCATCTTCCCCAAAAAGAGGCACGATTCAAAGCATTTAACACTTGTACAGCTCATATTATTGTCTTTCTGGAGTTTTACATCCTTGCCTTTTTTTCGTTCTTCAGCCATCGTTTTGGTCATGTATCAGCCTATGCCCACATCCTCTCATCTACCATCTATCTGCTTGTGCCCCCTGCCCTTAACCCCATTGTCTATGGTTTGAAGACCATGGAGATTCGCATGCGGGTTGCTCACCTTTTCATTATAAAGCCAGACACCCAGAAATGATCAAAAAGTGGTATGACAGAGGAAAAATATGCATTCATCTGTTTAAACCTAAGTTTAAGCTAGAAATTCCTTGTATTATGTGGGGCTATTTTGGTGAGACATTTACATTACAAGATCTCCCTAAAGAATATATATTCCTTAATCTTTCACTGCTCTTAATCAACAGCAGTGAAAACATGAGATAAATGTGGATATACATACACATATATATATAATATAAATATATAAAATAAAATTTCTAACACCCCTCCATTCTTTCTCTTTTAATTTTTTATTTTTGCCTTTTCTCTTCCACCTTATTTCCTTTTTTACTTCTGTCATATTAACATATCCACTATCCAAGCAGCAGTTTACCCTTTGGATGTACAGCAGTGACAAAGATGTATTTTATTATTTCAAAGGTTCAAAGTATGCTGATGCTATAAAAATACTGAGCAGGATGGGTGCAGTGGCTCACACCTGTGATCTCAGCACTTGGGAGGCTGAGATGGGTTGATCATAAGATCAGAAATTTGAGACCAGCCTGACCAACATGATGAAACCCCATCTCTACTAAAAAGACAAATCCCATTACTGGGTATATACCCAAAGGACTATAAATCATTCTACTATAAGGACACATGCACACGAATGTTCATTGCAGCACTGTTTACAATAGCAAAGACCTGGAATCAACCCAAATGCCCATTGATGATAGACTGGATTGGGAAAATGTGGCACATATACACCATGGAATATTATGCAGCAATCAGAAATGATGAGTTCGTGTCGTTTGTAGCAACATGGATGAATCTGGAGAACATCATTCTCAGCAAACTGACACAAGAACAGAAAATGAAACACCGCATATTCTCACTCATAGGCGGGTGATGAAAAATGAGAACACATGGACACAGAGAGGGGAGTACTAAACACTGGGGTCTATTGGGGGGAAAAGGGGAGGGCCAGTGGGAAGGGGAGGTGGGGAGTGATAGCCTGGGGAGAAACGCCAAATGTGGGTGAAGGGGTGAAAGCAAACAAAACACACTGCCATGTGTGTACCTATGCAACTGTATTGCATGCTCTACACATGTACCCCAAAACCTAAAATGAAATAAAAAAATAAGAATAAAAAAAAAAGACAAAAATTAGCTGGGCATGGTGGCATGCACCTGTAATCCCAGCTACTCAGGAGGCTGAGGCAAGAGAATCACTTGAACTTGGGAGGTGGAGACTGCAGTGAGTTGAGATTGTGCCACAGGCCTCCATCCTGGACAACACAGGGAGACTGTGTCTCAAAAAAAAAAAATGAACAAATGTAGTTTAATATTATTTAAGCTATCATAAGATAAAAACAGTAGATTTAGTTTCACATGTGAGAAGCAACTAACCTAGATTTTACAAGGAATTAAAGAAGGCCTTATAAAGGAAGTCATGGCACATATGATATTTGAATAATAAATTTTACTTCAGCCGATGAAATGCTATTTGCCCTAATTTTAATTCAGTTTTAAAGCATTTAGCATCATTAGAACTCACATAAATGTGAGGAGATACATGCCAGGCGTGTGTGAATTTGACATCTTTCAGCTATGAGTTATGAAAAGCAAGCTCACTTCTGTGTTCATCAGTGATCAAAATATACAAATCATAACTAACTATAACAAATATAGTTTTTACTGTGTAAGCAACAATTCAACTTTTCAGAGTTGTCATTGCAATGGCTTAGCATATAATTTCCTTGAAAGGTGCCCATTCTCTGTTTATGTAGTGTTGTAACTCAGGATACACTTATTTTTTTGCTAAAAGATCATTAGGAGATACTTGGAAAAGTTTTGAAATCTAACCTATTAGATTGATCAAATACTGTGATGAAGGACATAACAGTATCTTTTCTTCTATTAACCTTACAGCTCTAAAGGGCTTAAACTTATTGAAAAAAAGTCAAGACATTGAAGTTCAGCTACATATTCCTTAGTCTCCTTTTCATGCCAGACCTCCCTCTTCAGGGCCTCTATGGCTTGATAGCATGTACTCCACCACAACCACAGCCGTGCAAGCAGCAATAATCTTAGCAAATTTGTCCTCCACTTAGTGCGGTGGTTTGGCTCCCTCTTTTTGATGGTCAGGTTAATGGCTTATATTATTATTTAGAGTAGAAAATGGATATCAAAATGTATCTTATGATGGTCTCAATCTACAAATGCGAGACTTTAGCATAAGGGCATCTTAACAAGAGTTCTCACAAGATCAAACAACAATTTGAATGTAAGTGATATATTTTGGAATTGATCCAAGGAAAATAAACTGTGGGAGAGGGAGCAAGTAAGAAAGTGAAGGGAAAAAAGGCAATACAATTTTTAAGACTAAACAAATTACTGCTGTTAAATATCAGTGCTCTCTCATGCTAGCAGTCCTTGAAAAAACTGGAAAATGCACACTTCCAGGTTGTTCCAATTAATGGCTAGAAATATTGAGTGTTTATCCAGTGATCTCCATCCCTTGTTCAATCATAACTCCTGAAATATTACATTGCTAATATATCTCACACGTTTCACTCATGGACAGATTATGCTTCCCAAGCAAGAGGAAGTTCCCAGACAAAGTCATGACAATCCATTGCTGTGAACAGAAACTGTCTACAGGCGACTTTTGGAGCACGGTGAGGGCAGATAGGAAATCTTTTGAAATGCAGCTAAAAATGAAAACAATGTTTTCTGAAGAAAACATGCAAAAAATAGACAAGAGAAGGAATATTTTCCTGCTTCTTCATGTACTCATGGAGAGAATGACAGCATCTAGGACTCTGCTGGAAGAATTATGCACTGTATTACAGGGAAATAATAATCTCCATTGTCTATGAAATAAGCTTTTTAAGAGAATTAATATATTGGCATCAGATACTGAGCAGTCTAAGATTTATGGCAGGTATTTGAAAGTAAAGTGCCAGCTGTTTAGAAGAATAATAGGAAACACTAGCTTTCAAAAATGTGGAGACCTTGCAGGTCACCTGTTTCAGTGGAAAGTTGAGTTTGGTTGCAATTTTTTATTTATTTTTAATTTTAATTTTTTCTACTGGAAGGTAGAGGATATCCTCAGTTTTCAGGGAGACAAGATTCTTATTTTTACAATCCTGCCTGTCTTTATCAGAAATACTGAGAAATGTTGGATCAAATTCTTATTCTATACTAAAATATATTTATAATAAAATTGTTTTATATGTTTTATGAATTTAGGATTCCATCCACAGACTTTTAGGAGAAAGATATACAATGAATACACCAAAGGATTTAATTTTCCAAACAATATAAATTCTCTCTCTTTAAACAAAATATGGAATATACTAGTGGATAACATTTTCAACTGTCATATCTCAACCTGCCTTGGATCCAAAGAAGATATGATATCTATTTATGTATTTATCCATTTATGTATTTGGCCATTTTATTTTCTTTATTGTAATCTATCCACAGTATGAAAGGCTCTAGGCTTGACTTTTGGTTCGATTAGCCGAATGTTATAAAAAGATTAATAAAAATATTTAAATTACCTGAACCTAATTTTTCTCTTGTTTAAATGAAGATAAAAACAATTACCTTAAAGGAGTAATGTATAGACATAACAAATTCACACAGACATACATACACTCACACACACACTCACACACACACACAGACAAACACAAAGAAATTTTTGGAAGTGAGAGGCATGTTTAGTACCTTGATTGTGATGATAGTATTACAAATATATGCATATGTCCACATTTATCAAAATGTACCCATTACATATGTGCAAATTTTTATATGAATTATACTACAAGGAAACTTTAAAAATGCATTTTAATCCTAGCTTATAAAAATAAAGTGCTTAAAATGATATTTATCTAGTTGTTATGCAAATTTGATTGTGTAGTTGCTTTATATTTCCTGTAAGTTATGTGCATAAGTGTGCTTTGTGCTAACAGGTGTTCTTTCAAATTCATATTTAGCACTTCCTTAAGGAGCTCTTGTAAGGCTTGAAACATATTTCATCACCAGATGCCAGCATGGCTATAATTTTTCCAGCAGATAGGAATGTAAACTGATAAATGAATGGTATTTAATTAGAAAAAATATCTGAGTACATATTTTCTCTTGGAGTCTTACAATTTCAACATGTGTCCAATCTACTTTTTGTTTAGGAAAGTGTCTGGATTGGATTTAGAGTTGTTTCAAAATAGAGCAAGGACCAGCAGAAAAGCTATTTTTTGAATTATGTGAGAATACTGCTATTTGTGTAGAATAAAGCATATTGTCTTAGAAAGTAAGAGATGCCTGGTGGTGTGTCCTAGCTGTCATGAATCCCTAACACTCTCTCTATACAAGCGAAAGTGTCTTGATTACCTTGAAATTTTTAGAGATAAAAAATTAATTTCTAAAATTTACATTAGATCAACAATATGCAATCTATGGAGAATCCAGAAAAAACTGGTGAGCAGTGATAAAGATGGTTGGAGTCATAATACTGAACCCTAGAGGGGAGGTATAAATTGAAGAATTATTTATAATGAAAGAGATAGTTGAGATTGACAAACTGCTTTCAAACCAAGCTATAACTGTATCCATCACTTCACAGGATATATGGCTCTTCTGCTATATGGCTCTGCTACTCCCCTCAAGAATGCACTCCTCTCTATATTTTTCCTTAAAGTTGGGAGGCTCAACTGTTATGAGTACAAAGCCAGGCTGGACCAGTTCTTGGAAGAGTCCATAACTAATATAATCACTTTTTCTATTAGCATGTTTAATTAGCATGGAATTAGAGATTTTCTATTAGCATGGAATTAGAGATTCCAAGTGAGAACAACACAGCTGAGTTTAGGCAATCGACAGAATATTGTGAAAAAAAATCATAAATTGCTGTGAAAACCTGCCACTAAGTCTGAATGTGATGTATTTCACACAATATGTACATGTAAGAAAAAAATATCAGTTTAATTCTGCAGTAACACAAGTCTAAAACATGCAGCATTGGCTTTGAGAGTGGAGAGTGGGAAGAAACATGATGGGTACCAATAAAACTATGAATGAAGACCTTACAAAGAGAAACAAAATTGTTATTGCATACCAGACAATAAAGGAGTCAGTGATTTGTGATGGCAGAACAATAGAAAAAACTGTCACCTTTGTGAAGGTAGGAAAAATAATACACACACATAAACACACACACACACAGGCATACATACACTTACACACATAAACCAATGGATTTTCAATAAATTTGATGAAGATTTCCAGGGACAGTTCTGATAAGATGTGTATAGAAAAATATGATTTTTAGAAGCCAGTGTTTAATTTTAAGCAGAATTCATAGAATTCATAAGTACTACAGGGATTTCTGAGTTTGAACACAAAATATTTTCTCATTCACTTTTTCTGCATATATTATAGATTCTTAAAGGGGGACATAGCCTTTGGATAACAGCCTGCATTTTTGAGACTACTTGTTATTCAGAGCACTGCCAGGTTAAACTGAAAAAGACAGAAACAGCTCAAATGAAAGGAATCCTTGATACACAATACTGTATTGTTAACTGTAGATGCTCTTCTATAGAGTAGATCTCCAGGACTTATTCATCTTACATAACTGACACTTTGTACCCTTTGACTAATACCTCCCCATTTTACTCTCCAGCCTCTGGCAACCACCATCCTGCTCTCTGCTTCTACAAATTTGGCTACTTTAGATTTCTCATTTAAGTGGCATCATGTAGTATTTGTTCTTCTGTGTCTGGATTATTTCACTTAATATAATGTCCTCCAGATTCATACATGTTTTCACAAATGGAAGAATTCAATTATTTTTAAGGCTGAATAATATTTTACAAAACATGTTTTTTATCTGTTCATTCATTTATTGACATATAAAAATGAAATAAAATGGAGAGCCCAGAAATGATCCTACACATCTAGGATTACTTTTTTATTTATTTTAATTCATATATACTATGTGTACATATTTATGGGATACATATGGTATTTTGAAACATGAATACAATGTACAACAACTACATCAGTGTATTAAGTTCATCAACTTGAACATTTGTCATTTCTTTATGTTGGGAACATTTTAAAACTTCTAGCCATTTTGAAATATATTATACAATGTTGTTGACTATAATCACTCTAGTATACTACCAAACACCAGTGTGTATTCCTTCTGTTTAACTGTATGCTTGTACCCATTAAACAATTTCTCTTCATCTCCATCTTCCCCTTTCCATCCTCTAGTAACCATCATTCCACTCTTTGACAAAAATGGCTAAAACATACAATGGGGAAAGAACAGTCTCTTCAATAAATGGGGTTGGTAACACTAGATATCCACATCCAGAACTACATTAGGACCCCATCTCACACCATATATAATCCTCCCTTGGTACTTGCAAGAGATTGTTCCAGGAACTACTGTGAATACCGAAATCTGTGTATACTAAAGTCTCTCCATAGGCCTTACCTATACACAGGATTTCCATCTTGAAAATACTACATTTTTGATGTACTTATGGTTGTGGATGTGAAACCTGCTGATATGGAGGGCTGACTATATGTATTAAAAACAAAAATGGGTGTATAAGTGGAGCCATGCTGCTCAAATCTGTGTTGTTCAAGAGTCAACTGTATGCCACATTTTAATACAACCATTCCTCAATGAACAGTTAAGTGGCTTTCATATCTTGGCTATTCTGAATAATGCTGCAATGAACATTAGAAGGTAGATATCTCTTCAAGATAATGATTTTATTTCCTTTGGGTATATATCCAGCAATGGGATTGCTGGGTCACAGGGTAGTTTTATTTTTAATTTTTTAGAGAAACCCTTATGTTTTTAATAATGGCTATACCAATTTACATTCCCATTAACAATGTATAAGGGAATTATCCTTTTCTCCATATCCTTGTCAACATGTGTTATGTTTCACTTTTTGATAATAGCCATTCTAACTTTTGATTTGCATTTCCCTGAAGTTAGTGACATTGAGTGATTTTTCCTATGCTTGTTTACTATTTGTGTGTCTTCATTGGAGAAATGTTAATTCAGTTACTTGGTCCATTTTTTTTTAGGCAGGTTATTTGTGTTTTTCTTCTATTTAGCCGTAGAAATTCTTTATGTAGTTTAGATATTAACCTTTTGTCAGAAATATGATTTACAAATATTCTCTCCCATTCCCTAGGTTGTGTTTTCATTTGTTAATTGTTTCCTATGCTGTACAGGAGTGTTTTTTTTTGTGAGATGGAGTTTTGCTCTTGATACCCGGGCTGGAGTGCAACGGCATCATCTTGGCTCACTGCCGTTTCCAACTCCCAGATTTAAGCGATTCTCCCACCTCAGCTTCCCAAGTAGCTGGGATTACAGGTGCCCTCCACCATATCCAGCTAATTTTTTTGTATTTTTAGTAGAGATGGGTTTTCACTATGTTGGCCAGGCTGGTCTTGAACTCCTGATCTCAGATGATCTGCCTTCCTTGACCTCCCAAAATGCTGGGATTATAGGCATGAGCTACTGCGCCCAGTCATGCTGTGCAGAAGTTTTCTGTATTGTCTTCTTATAACAGGTGGGAAGAAATTTTTGGAGATGATAGATATTCTTATGGTACAGATTTGGGGTATTTTCATGGAGATATACTTATCTCCAAATTAATCATGTTGAATACACTAAATATGTACAGCTTTTTGTATGTCAATAATACCTCCATAACATGGCTAAAAATATCATTTGCTTTTGCATTGGTACAGAATAAATTTTATTTTATATTCTTAAATGCAGCAAAAATTAGTAATTCTATACCTCATTCTTCATTCTGTTTACACTTCCATTTCCAAAGTCTAATTATATGTTTAATAAAGGTCTTTTGCCACTGTAAATGGCAAGTATATGACTTTTTATTCATAATACCTAGAATAAAATATTTTACAATAACATATCTACTCAAAGTGAAAGATGGGTTTATGAATTTGATACTTGCTCTTCCATGTTAGGGTCAACTAACATATTTATCTGAACATCTATGTAAGTTTAATAATAAACCATGTAATATAATTAATTTATTTTTTATTTTTAGAAAGGAAAGAAAAAGTAAAGGATCCTTGAAGTTTGGCCAACCTATAGGTTTAAATGGTGAGTGGAAAATTTGGGCCACTTCTTTTAAAAGTAGTCATAAATCAGACTGCAAATCCTAGATCCCAAGGGGTAAAGCCAGGAACCAGAGAAAAACAGAATTATCTTTGTGGAGCAGAAGAGGGCCTTAGTTAGAAAGCTAGCAACATGTGCCTTCTGATATTTTAGTATGCTACGTACCAGTAATTACCAGATTCCATCTTTGTCCCTCTTTTGAAATGCAGGTGTTCTCATAATTACTTCATCAATATATTGACATTGTATGTTGACAGTGTTGGGGGCAGATGACTTATTTGTTAAATAAACAGCTATTCAGAGAAAGAGGAACCGTATTTCAGGAACTACCACAACTATGAAGCCTCATCTACATCTGACTATAATTTACATGATGAAATTCTAGACAAATGCCATAATGGAATGAGACCTAGACATTTGAGGGAGATATGAGTTATGTTGCATACGAAAGTAATGTTAATTGGTGTAGGCAAAGAGAAAAATATGACAGGTTGAATTTTACAAGAAGGTCATTACAGTATCTTTCAATTGTTATATGGTATTCTACAATATAACAATTAGGAAATGAATCTATTTCCCAACCTCTGAAATTTGAGCAGATCCTTTACTGCCATGAGCAATGAATAAGTTCTGGGTGTAGATTGTATCTGATCCAGTGGGTTCTGTTTTTCACTCATTGAAGCCCTGAAATACCATTTAAGAAGACCTGGCTAATTTAATGGAGAGAGTGAGCCCACAGGGAGCAGCACTAGGGCACCAGGATTGTCAGTGAAGGAGCCATACCAGTTGTCCATCCTGCTGAACACTCAGGAGACTCAAGCTCCAGCAGCTTTTTGTCCTGCAGCATTTGAGGGACATCAAGTGAGAAGAGTAATCTGAGTCCAGTGAACCCCAAACTCTACAATTTGGGATTGTTTTTGATTCAGCAAAAGATCACCATAATAATGGAGAAGAGGAATCATACTTTAGATAATACATTGAACCACTGAAAGTGAAAGAACCTATCCTAAATAATATTCAGAAATGAAACTGAGGAGATTTCACTGAGAAGGATTCTCAATGGAGAGGAATGTCAGCTGGGAAACAAGATGCTTCTTTCCTCCTTCCCTCCCAACTCTCTCTCCTTCTTTCTCTCCCTACCTATATCCATTTATTTTATTTGTCTCTTTTCTTATCATCCTACTGTCTTTTTTTAGTGAAGGGGCTGAATGTTGAAATGTATACATTGTTTTATGATCCTTGTTGTCTTATCAGAGAGGCTATTTGAAATGGGACTCATTTATTCAATAAATATTTATTAAACTTATGTATAATGAAAATTCCAGCTTCTTCAAAAATAACAATAAATAAAACATTCAGTTTCATGTAGAAAATGATCATGCTAAAAAGGCAATTCTCATACTGTGTGACATGTTTCATGACTATGGAAAGACTGGGTGGTACTGGAGACCAATCAAAAGGAAACTGATACAGAGTGGAGAAAAAGAGGAGAGGTGAGATCAAGGAAGGCTGACAGAAGGAAGTACTGCATAAGATGAGTTCCAAAAGCTGAATAAGAGAATGTGGAAGCAGCAGTCTGAGATGGATCGTTAATTCATTTGAGCAAATATATGTCTCTCAAAACTGGCAGACAAACTGTGATAAGACTAATAGTGGTTTTGCATATCTATTATAAAATTGAATGTGTGCATCTAGTATATGTACACATACACATTCTTGTGAATGTATGCATATCTCAGGTAAGGTGTATGAATGCCATAACTTTAAATATGATAGCATAAGAAAGTGGGAGAGATAGGCAGAGAGGTAGAACAAACTAGCTATTTATAAACAAAATAATTGGAAGTATGTATTTGAAAGAAATGTGTCTATTTGTATATGTTTATATAAATAAATATCTGTGTGTAGGTTTATTAATAAGATGGGTATGATTTACATATATCTGTCTTTTGTTTTAGAAGTTGGTATTTAATAAAAACCCTTAAAGACAACCTAGGCAATACTGTGCTGGGCATAGAAATGGGCAAATATTTTATGAAAAAGACACCCAAATCAATCACAACAAAACAAAAATTGAAAAGTTGGATCTATTTAAACTCAAGAGCTCCTGCACAGCAAAATAAACTATCAACAGAGTAAACAGACAACCTATAGAATGGGAGAAAATATTTGCAAACCATGCATCTGACAAAGGTCTAATATCCAATATCTACAAAGAACTTAAATTCACAAGAAAAAAACAGACAACCTGATTGAAAAGGCAGAAAAGGGCATGAACAGACACAATCCAAAAGAAGACATATATGTAGCCATAAGAACTTAGAAAAAGGCTCAATATTACTGATCATCAGGCAAATAAAAATCAAAACCACAATGAGATTCCATCTTACACCAGTCAGAATGGCTATATTAAAAAGTTAAAAAATAACAAATGCTGGAAAGGTTCTGGAGAAAAGGGAACACTTACATGCTGTTGGTGGGAGTGTAAGGTAGTTCGACGATTGTAGAAAGCAGTATGGCAATCCCTCAAAGAGCTTAAAGCAGAGTTACCATTCAACCCAGTAACCCTCTTACTGGGTATATACCAAAAGTAATATAAATCATGCTACCATAAAGACACATGTACGTGAATGTTCACTGTAGCACTATTTACAATAGTAAAGACATGGAATAATCCTAACTGCTCATTAATGGTAGGTTGGTTAAAGAAAATGTGGCACAAGTATACCATGGAATCCTGTGCAGCCACAAAACAGAATGATATCATGTCTTTTGTGGAAACACGGATGGAACTGGAGGCTGTTATCCCTAGCAAACAAATGCAGGAACAGAAAACTAAATACCACATGCCCTCAATTCTAAGTGGGAGCTAAATGATAAGGGCTTGTAAATACAGAGAAGGAAACAACAAACACTGGGGTCTACTTGAGGGTGGGTCATGGAAGGAGGGAGAGAAGCAGATAAGATAGCTATTGGATACTGACCCTAGTACCTGGGTAATGAAATAATCTGTACAACAAACTCCCATGGCATGTGTTTTCCTATGTAACAAACCATCACATACACCCCTGAAATAAAAGCTTAAAAAATAGCTTTTTAAAATTTCTTTTAATTTATAAAATGCCTACCTCACAGGTCCAATCTATTGTATATTACTAAGATGAGCTTTTTTCTTTTGAAAATCCTTTAGACAGAGAAAAGAAGCTCATTATTTATTTATATATTCATGGATATTTATATTTATTTATTTCAGTTAGGATAATTTTTCATCATTTGTTATTTTGTGTTGGCAAAATAGCTAAAACCTAAATACAGAAGAGAAAAAAATAAAGAAGTACAAATCTTGGTATAATTATTTTTACCCATACATCATGAGAGTATGTGCCTAAATTGCATTTTAACCTCATTTGAAAATCTGTTTTTGATGCGTTGTAATTAGGTAAGTATCAGTAAAATATTCTCCTATTTTATTACTTGCATAAGTGTCTGGGTAGAGTTCTGGCTATGAAGGTTTTATAACTGCATCCTGATTGAAAGACCATGTCCCAACTATATAATCACGCTGACTAAGTCTTTCCCTGCTTTAGTTATTCCTTTCCTATGAACCCACAAACCTGGCAGGAATTATCTCTACCTCCAACCTAACTTCCAGCTTAACATCTCCAGGTATCCTGTCCACCAATGCTATAAACTTTAGTCTCTATAACAGTGAAATATCTGCAGTACCCACTCCCGCATTTGTTTGGTCCTGGCCCCATAAATTAAGGGGTTAACCATGGGAGGAATAAGGAAGTAGAGATTGTCAATGATGATCTGCATATAGGGAGCCATATGGTAGCCTAAAATCTGGGCCAGAACAGAGAAGACAACAGGAGAATAAAAGAGACCAATGACACAAAGATGAGAGCCACATGTGCTGAGAGCTTTGCCCCGTGCATCCCAAGATGGTATCTGAAAGACAGCATGAAGGATAAGTCCATATGACAGAATGATAAAAAACAGATCAAATCCCACAGATGCTACAATAACCATGAGTCCATAGACAATGTGGTCAAAGATGTCTTCACAGGCTATCAGCACCACAGCCATGTATGCACAGTAGGAGTAAGCAATTATGGGGGTTTGGAAGCTTTGCAATCTTTTTGTCAGAATTGGGGCTGGGGTCAGCACTGCCACTGCTCTTGCCAGGATAGCCAGTGCCATCTTCACAAGCATGTTGTTAGCAAGGATGGTTGTATATCTTAGAGGGTACCAGATAGCCACAAATCTGTCAAAAGCCATGGCTAGGAGAATCCCAGATTCCATAACATAAAATGAAGGAATGAAAAACATCTGTGTGAGGCAGGCTTTGAAACTGATTTCCTTGGCATTCATCCAGAAGATAGCCAGTATACGGGGCACTGTGACACTGACAAGACACAGGTCAACAATTGACAGCATGGCCAGGAGGAGAAACATAGGCTCATGAAGACTCTTCTCTATCCGGATGATACATAAGATGGTGATATTGCCAATGACTGTAATGAGAAATACCAAGAAAAAAGGCACAGAGAACCAGCCATGTAAAGATTCAAGGCCAGGAATTCCAGCCACAGTAAATATCGAAGGCTGAGAAATGGAATTGTTGCAAGAGGACATCCCTAACCTGAGCTCTTCATTGTCTGATTCCTAGGGGGAAACAAAAGGGAATATTTTGGAATCATTGCATCATTTGCACCTATAAAATGCTGGTCATTATAGTAGGTTATGGTGGTGAAACTTATGATTATTTTGTATAAATTAATGATCAAATGAAGGCTTCAGCTACTTGTGGTGGAGAGAATGATTCTATTTCCTCTGCAAAGGGAGATGCAGTCTCAGGGATATATTTTCAATAAAGATATATCAACTCAATTTTTTAGCTTCTCCTGTAGCTCTGATTCTGTCTAATATTCAGTTTTTGCAATTCTCTATGATTTTTTCCTATATATCAGTCCATGGCAGGATAAATATTTTCAACATTACAGACAGGGAGTAGGGATATGAACAAGCCAGAAAGTATAGTTTTCACTCAAGACAAGAAGGCTAAATTAATCATACTCAGTTTTATCATACTCAGTTAATTGTCCCCAGTTTCTGGGATTGGAGTTTGCTTGGATATTCTTCCTGCAATATTTAGCCACAAATTGTTGATTTTGACAAAGGACCTAGGAAGTCTGCTGATCTTATGTCTAGAAAGCATGAGGCCAGTCTGAAGGAATAACAGATATTTTGGTTGACAAAATTGGAATTCAAAATCACCTCAATGGATAATAATTTAGTATTAAGTTTCCAGATTCCTCAATAAAGCCTGGTTTGGGAATGGGTACAGATAAACATAAATTAGTAGTTTTCTTTATATATGTATATCTGTGTGTTTTTATAAGGGGAGTAGAGTTTGGGGGTTAATAGTAACACATCTTTCTATAGAAATAAGAATTTTTTGTATTTGCTAAATATGTTAACGTATATAATTATTCTAAATAGATATACATATTTATAAATTATTTGTAAAATAAATTAACTAAATTATGGTTTTCATAGCTCAGAGACTGTATTTACTCAACATATTAAAAGTTGAAAACAAATATATAATAAATACAAAAATAAGTCTATAGAAATAAGACATTTTGTTAATAATACAATTATAATTATATTTCACAATTAAGTTTTAGACTCCCATTTTGTTAGAGACATTTCAACTCTCTATAAATAACAATAACATGAAAAAATACCAATAAAACCTTAAAATAAAGAATAAAACTGTGTACCACAAATTTGCTCCAAAAATAAAAGTACAGAAATATTAATAGTGTTGATTATTTAGCTTTAGTTAATGAACTTGAATTATTAGTGTTTTTATTTATATCTGTATCAATTGAATACCAAATTCTATTCAGTATGTTCACAATTTTTAATGCCAATTCATCAATTTTGTTTATATTAATTAATTATATATTTTTATTTCTGCCATAGTGTTAGCCTTTAAAACAAAAATTTTTTAAAAACTTAGGCTTAGATTATATAAATTTTGAGTGGAGCTTTAAAAAATTAATTTACTCTAAATAGGTAAGATCCTCAAATAGGGCAGCATATTTTTAAAAATACTACTGAGAATTTTATTATCAATTGTATTATTCAATATAATTTTAATATACCAACTGCATTTGGTAAAAGGCACACCACAGCTGAGTGATAGGGCTCCTGGAAGGTAATTTGTTATAGTGAAAATACCAAGGTATTTGAAATAACAGGTGTCTGGAGTAGAATCTCAGCCCTGCCACTTGTTCTATGTGATTTGTCCAAGTTATTTAATGCTTTCATGTTAAGTTGTTTATGTCAACAAAATGGGATAAGGCATATGTTGCAAAGTTAGTAGTGAAGATTAAGTCTGTCATTAAATTCCAATATTGAATAAATACACACATATTCCTAGCATAATACTTTGAATATTTGGTTGCCTTATAAATGCCCTTCTTTTACTTTTCTGTGAAGTACAAAGTTAAAAGAAACAATAACATTTGGAGAAATACCTAATATAGGTGATGAGGGGATGGAGGCAGCAAACCACCATGGCATTTATATACCTATGTAATAATCCTGCAGAATCTGCACATATACTCCAGAACTTAAAGTATAATAAAAAATTTATTATATATATATAATGTTCATTTTGTTTTGTTTTTTGGAAAGAACTTTGACTAGGAAAGTGGATTGTCTTAAACTGGTATCGTAAGAAGGAATATTTGATGATGTTGGTAATTTTGTCCTTAAATATTTTTAGATTCATTATGCGTTAAAGGGAAAACAACCCATATGAAAATATACATTTTAGTTCAGTAAAGCATAGGATCCTCTCACAAAGAACTACTTTCAAACTGAAAAGGCATTATTGTAAACCAGAAGCTCACCATCAGTGGAATTTTCAATTAGAAACTGATGATGATTTATTAGGAATACTATAGATAAAAATTATCTGGTAGTAGTAATAGGATAATATTGAAACTTTAAAAGCAAAATGGCAAGTTTTGGTCTGAATGATTAGAAGCAATTGCCAGCAACAACTGAATCAATATTAACTATAAGTAAAGGCAACATTAGGGAAAAATTTGAAAGATATTTACTATCTTCTAAATAATGTTCTTAGGCATTCCAAGCACTGCAGAACCTAACCATGGTCTTACTAGGGTTAACGATTGTGATATTTGGTTGAAAAGATTTGAAAAGACTTTTCCTACTTGACTTTTTCCACCTCAGCTTTTTCTAGCATTTACCCCCTCCCTCTTTTGTCCCTTTTCCTTGAGAAGTACCTGTAGATCGTTGTGAGTCTGATCACAATGACTCAAAGACTAACAAAGTCCACTTGAAGTATGAGGAAGATCTGTGGATCTCCAGAATATGATGAACTGTGTGGACTTGAGGCTGATTTATGTTGGTTTTCTCTAACCCTCCTGCATCCCTAGTGGCCTTTTAATTAACCAGGGTGTTTTTCATAGCTTGGATATTTGGGGGAACAAATCCCACAGTAAATCATTGAGGAAAGCACATGTAGATAACAGCAAATGTTTAGTAGTACTGTAAAAATGTTAGTGTATTGTAGGAAGTGCACTGATTTGGTTTAGGAACTACAGAAGGAGGAGTAGAGACTGAGAAATCATTTAGGATGAAAATTAAAGAAAGTCTGGAGCCATGGAAGGATTATATTGAAGGCAGAGTTGCTTGTATCTATAATGGCACACAAATTGCTATAGCTAGCTTCAATATCGGTAGTTTGTCATTTTCATTTCTAGTGAATTTGGAGGGGGACAGAAGTAAGTACAAGAGAGGAGCCCTAGGGAACAAAAATAGTTGTACAATAAATACTAGGTTTAGGAAGAACTGAGTTTCAGAATGATTTCTTACAGGAATAAGAAACTAAACTTGTGAGTAGACCTAAAAAAGTGGAGAAAATGTTGAGAACTCTTTGGTCAGAGAAGGTGGTGGGGTGTTAACACTCTAATGGTAATTTGGGTTGCATTTTTTCCTTATTATTTTCACAGTTCCTTGCAAATTTTAGGTTCTTAAATATTTTTTGTATGAATAAATGCACCCACATACCCTCATGGGTGTGTGGGTGCGTGAGCATGCACACACAAACACAAACACACATGCACATTCCATGTTTTTATCATTGACTCTGGACTCTAATCCTGGAAGAGTGTTACCAGGGATAGTGACAGTCATATAACATGTGAGACTATCAGAGTCTTTAAGCATATCCTACAGCCTAAAGTATAATCAGGGTGCTTAAATCTAATTCTTTCCAGCATGGTTGTTGACAACCTGAATCAAGTCACTATCATATTGTCCTAGTAAATTTTATATCTACATTGTACTTTGTATTCTTTGCAGACTTTGTACTTAGCATTCTTTGTCTCAAACCCATTTACCTAATTGCAGTTACAATGGTGTCTTTTTTATATAAAGTATAGCACATATTTTATTGTAAAAAATTTCATTGTGTGTGGTTAAGTTGTAAAACCCGATGTTTTGATATACACAGTGAAATCGTTACTACATTAAAGCAAATTGATGTCTATCATCTCCCATAGTTATTTTATTTATTTATTTATTTATTTATTTATTTATTTATTTATTTGAGGGGGAGTCTTGCTGTTGTCGCCTGGGCTGAAGTGCAATGGTGCAACCTTGGCTCACTGCTACCTCTGCCTCCCAGGTTCCAGCAATTCTCCTGTCTCATCCTTGAGAATAGCTTAGATTACAGATGTGCACCACCACACTTTGATTTTTTTTTATTCTTATTTTTTATTTTTAGTAGAGATGGGCTTTCATCCTGTTGGCCAGGCTGGTCTCAAACTCCTGACTTCAGATGATCCACCCTCCTTGGTCTCCCAAAGTGCTGGGATTACCGGAGTGAGCCACCATGCCTGGCCTACTTTATTTTTGCTAAGAGAACCTAAAATCTATTAGCAGAATAAATTTTCATTATACAACACTATATTATTAATTATAGTCCTCAGGCTGAATATTAGCTCTCTATGCTTATTCATCTGATAAATCTGCAGCTTTGTACATCTTAACCTACATCTTCCCCTCCTCATAACTCCATTCATTGCCACCCCTGTTTCTACTCTGTTTCTCTGTTTCTGGGTACTCACCTTTTTTTAAATTAAGATTCCACATCTATTTAAGATAATAAAAGGGATTTGTTGTTGTTGTTGTTGTTTATTTGTTTGTTTTCTGTGTCTAGACTACTTAATTTAGAAATAACACATTACATTCCACAAGCAAGGATGTCCATTCTCACCACTCCTATTTATCAAAGATATGGAAGTCCTGACCAGAGCTTTCAGGCAAGAGAAAGTAATAACAGGCATTCAAATGGAAAAGAGGAAGTCAAATTATCTGTGTTCACTGATGACCTGATTGTGTATCTAGAAAACCCTAAAGACTTCTCTGGAAGACTCCTAAACCTGATTTGCAAATTCAGTAAAGTCTCAGGACATGAAATCAATGCAGAAAAATTCAGTAGTATTTCTATGCACCAATAACATTCAAAATGAAAACCAAATTACAAGCTAAATTCCATTTACAATCACCACAAAAAATATAAAATAACTAAGAATACATCTAACCAAGG